CCGCCACCCCTGGCGCCACCAGCAGCGTTTGCCACCAGGCAGGGTATGAAGGTAAGTTAATTGATCGTTCCTTTAAGTAAATTCTATCTGTAATGAAAGTTTTCTGAACGCGTTTGCCGTTATTGACGCGCTCGTAAAAATCGTTATAGACGACCACGCAAATATTTCATTTGCGCATGTTAGGCCGTGATGTTGCGCGCATTTTATTTGCTTGTTTTGATCTCGACCAAATCCAACTTGACGCGTGTTGAACAGTTTTTTGAATGCGATGCGAAACGCTTTTCAACCAACGGCCAGTGATGCCTATTTCTGAAAGGAAGGAAATGACCGAATGTCCCAGAATCCCACGACACCCAATCTCAATAGGCATCACGTTACACGTCCAACCATTTTCCATACATTCGGCACGCAGTGACTCGTACCGGTTTTTCTTTAGTTCGTACGCGTCCACTTTGTTCTCTTCCCAAGGATAAGCCCCTCTTCCGAGAGTGAATTTGATTTTGTTAAAATTTTCACCATCAATTGTTAAGACAATTTAAAATCTTTTCTACCGTCAATTGTTAAAACACAAGTTAAAATTATTTATTCATCATCAATTATTTAAATAAATATAGAAGTCTGAATGTTTTAATCACTTCAGGCATAACAGTCTCTCCAAATGCAAACTTACCCTGGGGCATGGTTCTCTTGCCATCAGGTGTACCCACGGAAGACAACAGTCACAGACCACATGATTTATGTTCTTCAAATCCTGCCTATACAACTTACACAGTCGCTGTGCTGAAGATCTCAAGGCTACATGAACATGTTGTACAACTTTCTATCTATCTGGATCAAAATATCTGCGGATCTTCTGGATTGACATATTTTCATCCAGACATGCTGTTGGTATTGCAGAAAGGTTTTGTTCCCGACTATCTTCAGAGAGAGATTTCTCTACCAATTGCAGGAATTGTATCTTTATCATTAAGTAGCCAATTATCTGCAGATCCCAATCTTGCCCATTGGCATGGTTCTCTTGCCAATACAATTCAGGTGCACTAACTGAAGACAACTGGCACAGATCATAGAATCCATATTGTTTAAGTCTCGCCTTTACACTTCACACAACCACAATCTCAAACATGATATATTCTTAATTCTAAAATACTATTTATATTTACCGGTAAAATAGCCACACTGTCTATTTTACCGGGACCGCCAAAATAGCCTACTCGTTATTTTAAATAGGACTGATGATAAAAAAAAAGATTCTATTCTGTGTCTGTCTGTATTTATGAGATGAGGTACACTATTTAAATTATTCAGGCTATTGTCCTCATCTCTGTTCCCATATTTATCACAGCGTTCGTTTTGCGCCCCGCCCTTCTTCAGGTGGTTGGTTATAGCAGTGGGGAACTTGTAGAGGTGAATTAACAGGAGATACCTGATAACTGACATCCATTAGGCATGGCACGTGGAACTAGAACAGTCTACTCCAACGAGAAAAATAAAGGGTTCAGTTCGACATTCCAACCACCTGAAGAAGCCCTGAGCGTACAACGGCCGAAATGTTGGGATAAATATGGCAACAAAGATGAGGACAATAGTCAGAATAATGTAAATAGTGATTCTATTCTCAATATTACAGCCAAATAACGACGAAATAGGATCTATCAAACTTTAAAAAAATTGCGTGTGGGTATAATCCTGGCTATTTATAAGGAAATAAATCCAACCTTCCATTACGTCTCATAATTTCTCAAATTCATACTCCTGTATATAATTTATCTAAAAATCTAAACACACTGATCCAGCCATACTTATTAAATGAATATAGGATTGGTTCCACCACGAATTCCTCGACATATGTAATTCTAATAAGCCCAACAATAACATCCTAGTCTTGTTAGATGATGAAAGTCTCTTTCTTAATATCCTGGCGTTGGAAGTTTGAGGAACAGGTGATAAATAATTCTTTTTTTTAATTCTAATTTAAGAATTGAACAGGATCTCCAATAAATGATCAGCCAGTTCACCCATGCCAGCAAGAAATCAGGGCTGACTACACTGGTCAACACAATTTTTGATGCCAAGAAACAAAACACGTTTTTTTAGCTAATTTGATGGTGCTGATCCGAAAATGACCTTAGTTTTTCATGGTTAGCTACCATTTTTTGCTGTACTGAAACTGCTAATCTTTGGAAAAAAGATCAGTTTACGATCTTGACTGATCACAAAATTTAGTTAATAAAGGTCATAGAAACCCATCAATTTTCAGGTAGGCCAAGCAATTTATGTCAGCCACCTGAAATAAACTATTTTTATAAGAAAAATGTGTCTTTGAGACAAAAATTTTAAAATAGAAGTACCCAATTTTTTCATTTTATTACGAAAATTCAAATTAACTGGAAAATTTATCAGTAATGCACTTTAGTAAACCTGATAATTAAAGTGACATTAAAAAAAAATGAAATCCTAAAATCTTCTGTTTGATATTCATAAATTTATCTCATCATTTTTATCCCTTCACTACAGAAGGAAACCAAGCACATTGAGAGCATTTTGTTTTCACAGTTGAAAAGAAAGTCCCAACTAAATGAACCTATTCCATTGTACATGATACTGCTGGAGTATCAAAAGGTACTTAAATGTCATTGAACATGACAGACAATCAAGAAAGAGAACATTTTCACCATAGTTTTGATGTTCACGAAAGTTTTATTACGATAGCTAACCAAGAAAAAGTAAGGTCATTTTCAGATTCAGTGCCCTCAAATTAGCTAAAAAAGATGTTTGGTGTCTCGACACTATTTCCAATTTTTTTTATTGACTAGTGTAATCTATGCTCGATCAAAAGTTTCTTTTCTTTCTTATTGAAGCCGCTAATGCCAGATATTTCTGTATTTTGTCCTTTCTTTATTAGTTCGTATATCGTTTTATGTTATTATTGCTTTTTCAATGATAGGTAATATTGTGCATAAATCCGATCCGAGGTTGACCATAAAGTATTATGAGATCAGTACATTTTCTTCCTATTGAATTCCTTTCTCTGGCATTAGACTGACATTTATTAGGTAAAATAACTGTGGTCGGGTGTGATATGGTGAACTACCAGTGTGTGTTGAGTGTTGTTATGCAACAGATCACAGCGATGCTCTTTTGAGATTTCTAGATGTTTTGCCATTGTATATCATTGGTCATTTTGCACACTTTATTTTGTATATTCTTGATTTTATTTTATTGTTGTTATTCTTTCGTTTGATGCTGACTATATATTTTATTGCTTTTACAGGTGTTGCTGATAAATTTTAGATCATGGTTTGATGAGCCGTTTTGGTGGTAGTAATTGGGTAGTTTTGTGCGCCTAATTTCGACAGGGTTGTTGGTTTTATTATTGGATGTTTCTATTTTTCTTTTGTGGATTTTGTAGGCTTTGCGTTTATCATTATACAAAGAACACTTGAATATTTAAGGCTTTTCAATGTACTTTTCTTCCTCAAGCGAGAGTTGAGGGATAAACGCGTGTGTATCTGTCTAATTCCGACTTGAAGGCGTATGTAAAAAAAGACGCAAAACGCGTCGTCTGTACAGTTTTTCTTCGTTTGTTCGGCTCTTATTCTACACTAGCAGTAGAGCCCGGCATTGCCCGGAGATGTAACAGTAAGAGATAGATCAAGTATCGACCATCATAAAGACTGAAAAATAAAATTGACAAAGATTATTGTTTAAGGTTGACGGACATACATGTCTTAATTATTTATTTTTTTCTTTTTTTACGAATTGGTCAAACCCAAACTCAAACAAAAACATTGTTTTCAATCGTTATGAGTCTACCGATTGAATAGAATTTTATTATAAACAATTGTCTTGTAAATGGAATTTTTAAAGCATTCTGAATTTAAAAATAAAGAAAAAAGTGTGCAAGACAATATAAAACACTACCTGCCAAAAAAAAAAAAGTGAAGTTTTGTTGAAATCGGTTGAAAAATGTAGGAAATCCGATACCATATATAAACGAACACACACACACACACACACACACACACACACACACACACACACACACACACACACACACACACACACACAGACACACACACACACACAACCTGGATTTTATAATAAGTATAACTCGATATGATTTCCCTCCCCCATTTCATTCTCGTGATGCCTATTAATCGTGTTTTCAAATTGATTTCGTGCAAAAGCAATTGTGTTTTTCCCATTTTGGGCGCTTTTAGAACCACCGCAAGGTAATTTTACGTAGTCCTGTGAAGTTTTGTTGAAATCGGTTGAAAAATGTAGGAAATCCGATCCAATATATAAACGTACAGGCAAACACACACACACATACACACACACACACACAATCTGCGTTTTATAATAAGTAAGATTCTACAAACGCGCATATTTAAGCTTATACTTTCTTGTTTCAAGAAACTATCATATCAACAAATTGGTCCGTCTTTCTCGTAGAAGAAACGTTAATTTTGCCGTCGGCACCAAGTGGTCGCTGCTAGAGCTTAGGTAATAATTAAAAAAAAAATGCTGATTTATAAGGCAAGCAAGAACGCCCCCCACAACCCCGCTTAACTTGGAAGACTTGGGCAATGCAATATTCCTATCTTCATTTCTTTGTCTCATACTCAGCGAAAAGCGCGCATGAATTTCATATACACATGATTGCTTGGAGATACGAAACAAATAAAACAGCTACACACAGACAAATAGATTGACAGACAGATAGATCACGTTGGAGGCTGGGAAAGGCAATAAGGAAAGAAAGATTAATGGTCTGATATTATCAGCTGTGTCTCCCGGCCAAGCCGTGAATTTGCAGTAATTAGAAAGGAAGGCGCCACATTTGCTCGTCAGTTGCGCTTGCCTCAATAAAGTCCACACCGACTTGAGCCGAGACGAGTCGAGCGGCTGCAGCAAAATCAATGAAAACAATTCGGTGAAACAAAACTGGCTCATGTCGGTCAAAGGTGAATGCGTGAGATCTTTGCTTTCTCACAATGAAACTCATTCACAGCTTCCCATGTCTTTGCCATTACCAATCCGTTTCCGTTTGCTCTCCCCCCCCTACTCAGCTACAACTGCGCATTCATTCATTCATTTGTTCGTTCATTCATTTATTCTTTTCATTCTTCATTTATTACTTCCATTGTCAATTTTTTCTTTCTTTTTTTTATTTTTTTGTTTATTTATTTACTGTTTTCTATTTTTCTTCCTTTGACAAATTTCCTTCTATGTTTGTTTGTTTCTTTCTTTACTTTGTTTATTAACTTTTTTTCTATAGTTTTTTCTTTGACAAATTTTCTCGTTTTCTTCTTTTTTTTTTTGTCTTTTTTCTTTGTTTCTTTCTTTCCTGGTGATTTTTTCCTTCCTTTCTAGTTGTTTTTTCTATATTTACTTCTTTATTTGTTCCTTTCTTTGATAAATTTTCTTGTTTGTTTCTTTCGTTGTTTCTTTCTTTGCTTTGTTTGTTTCTGGGCGTTTTCTTTTCTTTTTTCTTTTCTTTCTATCTTTTTTCCTCTTTCTTTCCTTTCTTTCTTTCTTTATTTCTTTCTTTCTTTCTTTCTTTGCTCTTTTATTTATTTATTCTTTCTTTTGTTCTTTCTTTGACAAATTTACTTTTACTTTGTTTTTTTATTTGTTTATTCTTTGTTTCTTTTTTCCTTGATGTTTTCTTTCTTTCTTTCTTTCTTTCTTTCTTTCTTTCTTTCTTTCTTTCTTTGAAACCATTGCTTATTTCTATTGTTCATTCAAGTGTTGGGAAATAAAATCATGCTACTCTAATTCTTGCCTGCTTTGAAAATTATTATCTGAAATCTCTTTTTATTTTCAAACTATCGGAGCGATTAGGTAGGCTCGAACTCACTTCCAACTATTCAACTGCTCATCGCCATTCTACTACCATTAACATTTAATTTGGTTTGAATTTCCCATTTTTTCTGTTGCTTTTTTTATCTGGTTGTATTCTTTACCTTTTGTTTCTTAATGAAATTCTTCTTTTTTCAATGTTTTCTTTTATTTATTTATTTATTTCACTTGCCTCTTTAGTTTTTTCTTTTACTTTCTTTTTTCTTACACGTTTTTGTTTCTTTCTTTCTTTCTTTTTTCTTTCGTTATTTATTTATTTATTGCACTTGTTTCTTTCTTTCTTATATGTGTCTCTACTTTCTTTTTCTTTCTTTCTTTCTTTCTTTCTTTCTTTCTTTCTTTCTTTCTTTCTTTCAATTGTCTCTACATTCTCTTTCTCTTTCTTTTTTCTTTCTTTCTATGCTTATCTGCTTCTTTCTTTTTTCACCTCTTTCTGTCATACATGTTCTTTCTTTTTTCGCGTGCATTTATTTATTCACTTCTCTTCTCTTTCTTTCTTTCCTTCCTTTCTTCTTTCTTTCTTTCTTTCTTTCTTTCTTTCTTTTTTCCTTCCGTCTTTCTTTTTTTGCTTCCTTCTTCTTTCTTTCTTTCTTTTTTCCTTCCTTCCTTCCTTCCTTTCTTTCTTTCTTACGTTTGCTTGTGCATTTTCTTTGCTGTTTTGCTTCTTTCTTTTTCTTTGTTGGACAATTTCTGGTCATTGTGTCACTTTGAGTATTTGTTTGCAAACAGAACCTAATTTCAAAGGAAACCAGGTTTTCCCTAAATGCTTGTTGCAACACTTCGTTCGATTTAATCATTGCCATCCTCTTCTAAGCTACTGTTTGTAATTAGCAAATCTCAAGAGATCAAACGAAATATTGTGATCAGCCTCTTAAAAAAAAGTTTGAACAGTGACGTAACATTTCAAGAAATAAATTTGAAAGAAATTAATGAAAGGTTAACTCTGAAAATGGAACTGAAAATAACTGTAAAATCTTCTCTCGAGAATAAACGAAATTTAATAAAGACTAAGAACTCACCAGCTCAGTTTTGTATTAAATTGTTTTTCTTACAATGAGACTTTTTGACACTGAATAATTTACATTTTTGCTGATAATCCTATATTGCATATAACAGTCACGGGCAAACTGCGACCTTCGGGTTGCATGTGGCCCGTTTGGCCTCCTTAATGTCACGCTTAATTTCATGAGGAAAATAACTATTTACACTATTTACATTATTCCGACTGTTGTCCTCATCTTTATTTTAATATTCACGGCGTTTCGACCGTTGTACGCTCAGATTTTCTTTAGAAGATATACATGGGAATTTCAAACCGAACACTTTATTTAGTGCACGTGGGTAGATTGTTCAAGCTCCAACGAAATTCCAAAGTATATCACCTGAAGAAGGCCGGCGAGTACAACGATCGAAACGTCGTGAATATCACAATAAAGGTTAACATTCCGAACAATGTAAATTGTGTAAATAGTTACAACACCTCATGTCAGAAATTATAGAAATATGAGGAAAATAAGATTTATTAATATTTTGCTTGTTTTGTTCTCACTTGTTCACTCACACACTCTCGTACACAAACACATAGATAACAAATATTAAATATAATTTTTTTTTTGTTTAATCTTGTAACTTTTCTTTGACCATGAACTTTTAATAGTTGTATACATATATATATATATAAGTAATTCATCGAGTCTGATAGAAATATCAACAGAATGTAGAAAGCGCTGAACGGCCGTTTCGTCCTATATTTGACAACCTAACTGTCAGGGTTTCAATTCTCTGTAGTGGATGTGCACTGCTGATGAGTCCCAAATATAGGACGAAACGGCCGTCCAGTGCTTTCTGCATTCTGTTGAGATTTCTATCAGACTCGATGAATTACTTAAATATACTTATCAAATCCTCCTAATAATTTATATATATATATATATATATATATATATATATATATATATATATATATATGTATGTATGTATTTTCAAATGAATAAATTTGAAAAAATCGCACGCAGCGGTCATTAGTGATAATATTATACCAAAAGTTCATTTTCTTAATTATAGAAAATATATTCTCCAATGAAAAGAAAAACAAACAAACTCTTTGTTGCGTACGGTGGCTCTTAATAATTAAGTATAACTCATGGTTTCAATGTTAAAACAAAACAGTATTTAATTACAATCGCAAAAAAATACTTAACAAGAAGAAAGAAGTAAAGAAGTTCAAACAAAGATAATTAACCATTTCAGTGAATACCTTGTTAGTAGCGAGGCGAGGCTTAACATTCGGTAAATCCTAAATCAAAGCCCAAATCAACGACTCACAGTAATTCAAACCAATTCGACTGGATATATCCATTTAATAGTTAATAATCAGTCAGTAGCCTGATTAACCTGGCGGAAAACATATATTCATAAGTCCAGAGTGTCACGTTCGAACCTTGATGTCGGTAGTTACTCATTTTCTTCCTATATGATACTTTATAACATTTTTAAACAAAATTCTTATGCGTATGATCTTCAGCCGTGAAAATGACTGGTGGGGAACTTCATCAAAAAATTACCTTAAATCTTTTTAGTAGTGCAGCCCGCCTTATGATGAGAATTATGTCATGTGGCCCACTGAACGAGAAAGGTTGCCCGTGCCTGGCATATAAACTAATGGCAGTTATATTTGATGCAATTTGGACAATAACAGATTTACTTGACGTCATATCAACGAAACCTACCGGCAGTTGCGACAGGATAAATATTGCTTCTACCGTTTTTATCACTAGTTACGACGTACCTTTAATCTCCTCAGGGGCAATGGACCAAAATAAGATCCAAGAATAGATATCTCTTGCCAGATATCTTGTCAATCGTTCTGCAACAATCATTGCTATTCCTACAATTGATACTGACTCGCGATGCAATTTACTGCTAAAGAAGAGCGAGGATAAAGATAATTCTTCCCAGATATCTTGTCAACCGTCCTGGTATAGCCATTGTTATTCCTACAATTTACATTGACTCGCGTTACATTTCACTGCTAAAGTAAGAAGACTTAGAATAAAGATATTTCTTGTCAGATATTTTGTCAACCGTTATGGGATAGCCATTGCTATTCCTACAGTTTATACCGTCTAGCGATACAATTCACTGCTGAAGTAAGTGTTGAAACTTGACTAATGCATGGAATAATAATGTAACACAAAATGTACTTAGAACAAAATGTATTGAAACAAGAATGTGTACACAATATTTACATATAGTCTTTTGTATATTCCTGGTAAGACCGTTCCTGGAGAATGTGTTGACTGAGTCGCAGTCGGGCAGAGTCTCTGGTTGAATCTCTTGATTCCAACAGTAAGAAAACCGAGGAGAAAGATATTGAACATATTGAAACAAGAAAGTGCACACAATATTTACATATAGTCTTTTGTATATTCCTGGTAAGACCGTTCCTGGAGAATGTGTTGACTGAGTCGCAGTCGGGCAGAGTCTCTGGTTGAATCTCTTGATTCCTCCCTCTCTCTTCCCGGTACCAACCATATTTATATGGTCGGTACTCCACTATGCAAATTAGGTGGATCCTACCACAACAGTAAGAAAACCGAGGAGAAAGATATTTCTTGCCAGATATCTTATCAACCGTTCTGGAATACCTATTGCTATTCATACGTTTTATATTTCCCCGTGATGCAATTAACTGTTAGATCAAGAAAACTGAGTCAAAATATATTCCTCACAGTGTATTTCGTTTGCCGTTCTCAAGTATTTCAGACGAAACTATTCTTCTTTTTGGCTTAACTATTTTTCCTGAAGCAATCAAAGTCGTTGTTTACTCAACGGATTACTCTCTTAACCAGCCTCATTCGTAACATGCTAATAAAGAGACATTTTCTAAGATAACGGGCAACAGGAGCGTAGTGAAGTGGATTTCGAAGGCATTTTCTGTTATATATTGAACCCCTCCGAACTTCTTACCCTTTGCTGCTTAAGCAATGTTTGTCCACTTAATATCCCTCCCAATTACTGTTCTATCATCCAAACCCATTACAATATTTACTTCTACTCATCATGTCTTCGATATGTCCTGTGAATGTCAAATTCACCAAAACCTCTATCCCCATTATGCTCCCCAGAACTTTCAACTGTTACTTTCTGATTGTAAGCAAAAATGATAGCAAGCTCGTAATATTCCATCATAATTATGCGAAATTACTATCGAGCTTGTGTGAAAAAATGGCGGACTTTCTTAACAAAGAAAGACAAGCGTTTATGGGCCACGTTGTGGAAAGTCATGGTCGCCTATATCCTGAAGAGACGAGGCACACAGAAGTAGTCGATATAAAGTTTAAAAGTAACCGCACATAACATTTTATCCTAAGTTGAAAGAAATGAAATACCTGAGGTGGAACAACTACATTGAATCAATAGCTTCACATACCGCGAGGAAAGTTGATGCTCTGTATCGCGCTAGAAGGTTTTTCTCGTCTGAGTCCATCTTTCAAATCTACAAATTTACCATTCGCTCTTGCATTGAATACTATAGCTATTGCCTGGTGTCCTCGCTCTTCATCACGAGATTCTTGACAAAATCCAAAGATAGATATGCAATGTAATAGGTCCTGACCTGGCATCTCGACAACAGTCACTTTCTCACAGACGTGATGTGGCTTCCCTCTACAAATATTTTCATGGCAACTGCTCTGACGAGCTACTATTATTGGTATCCCAACTGCATGAATTTAAGCGTGCTACTAGATTGGCATCTCGGTCCCACCCTTTCACTGTTGAAACATTTAAATGTAACCGTCTCTTCTACTCCGACAGCTTCTTCTCTTACTTGCTTCCTTGATAACTATGGTCTTCAAATATTCAAATATAATGTCAATCGACATCTTCTGGAGTCCTGATCTTGATCCCCGCCCTTTTTATCCTTTCCTCAAGTAACCCACTTTACTCTTACTCTCACTCTCTCTAAACCCTTGCATGCTAATGGCACTCCTACTTTGTTTGGGTTGAAATGCTTAAAAAATGAAATAACCCGGAAATGTCTATTTTAGAATATCTTTGTTATTGTCTCGGATTTATATTATGGAAGCACGGTGGAGTAATGAACTGAGGTTCGGATTGATGAATCGGAGAGCCGACTTCGAATTCCAATCGTGATAATACCATTGGCATGCTTATGAATCAATGCCTCTTCCCCACTCAGCTATGGGTAAATAGCAGGACAGACTGGGTTCTACAGCATTGGGTGGCAAACAGTCTATGTGAAAGAAAAACTCTGAATTCAAAACATTTAACTATGGGTAAATGGTAGGGCAGTCTAGGCTCTGTAGCCATGGTTGGCAACCAAACTGGGAGAACTCTGGATTGAAATCGAAAACCCCAAGAGAGTCCGATGTCATGTTAAATTTCGTTCTAAATTTTATATTCTGGCAACTCGAGCGACGACGTCGATACTAATCTGTAATGCCCTCTGCCTTCCCCTTGTATCACATCGTTAGCGTGGAGAGGGGAGACGTGCTGCATGGGCAATTGCCGATCTCTCATAAAAAACAAAAAAACGCCTGCGCCCTGGAGAGAGCATAACTCCACCGGTGCAGATGCAGGGTCTCTCGCGACTGCTACTGGTGAATCGACGAAGTCCAATTCTGTCTCATGATAATGCCCGGCCACATGTTACCAGGATGACACTTTAG